GGGAAGATCGTTCACATAAATAAGGAAAAGGAGTGGTCCAAGGATTGATCCCTGAGGAACTCCAGATAGCACTGGAAGTGGTTCAGATGTTACACCAAGAACAGTAACTCTCTGTAATCGCCCAGAAAGATAGTCCCCGAACCAGCGAAGAAGATTTCCTCTGATGCCAAAGTTGTGAAGCTTCACGAGTAAGAGATCATGACTGACTTTATCAAAAGCTTTCGCGAAATCAAGATAGACAGTGTCAACTTGAGCTCTTTGTGATGTTGTAGACTTGCCGCTTTGAAAACCGTATTGTAGACTATAAAGTTGATTTGAGAGGTGGTCAATTATTCTGTTGTAGATACAACGTTCAAACACCTTTGAGACCAAAGACAAAAGTGATATTGGTCTAGAGACTTCATGTGAAGGATTTTTCTTTGGAATTGGACTAATATTGGACAGTTTCCACTCCCGCGGCAGTTTTCCACAAGATAAACTCTTGTTGAAAAGTTCACATAAAGATGGACTGACGCTAGCGGCGCAGTTTTTTAGCAATACCGCCGGTATTTTGTCAGGACCAGTCGCTTTGTCAACGTCGAGAGTTCTTAGTACAGAGCATACTTCTCCTTCAGTTAACTCAAGATCTGCGATGGTTGTCAGATTAATCGAATCATCGTCGACAGGAATGGGAAGGCCATGAGTGGAATCGCATGACGGATTAAACACAGAGTAGAAATAACGATTTAACAGGTTGGCTATGTCGATTGGAGTCTCAGCTGTTGTGGAAGAAGAGTCCTGTCGAGTCCATGTCATTTTTCCAGGAATGTTCGAGTGTTTAGAAGTGGATTTAAACACTGACCAGAACTTTTTGCTGTTTGACCTTAACAATGATGGAAGAGAGTGAAAGTACTGCGTACGTTTGGCTCTAACTAAAGACTTAGCTGATCGTCGAAGTATACGGAATTTTTCCCAGAGTCTAGGACACGACGTACGTTTAGCTTTTCTCCTGCACGAGTCCTTTTTTGAGAGAAGACGCCTCACTTCACCATCAAACCACGGAGGAGTGTTACGCCGCTTAAATGTTTTGAGTGGGATATGCTCAGCAGCAACACTGAGGAAAAAATCTTTCCATTGCTCCCAATCAGTGTTGATATCAGTGGACTTACTAGGTGATAAATCATACTGATCAAGTGCTCTTTGTGGCCCATTCCAGTCAGCCAAGTGAAAGTTGAACACAGTTCTCCTGTCAAGTCCTGTTAATTTTACATGTAGTAAAAAGTCGAAGAACATTAGGTGGTGGTCACTAGAGAGGTCCATTGTGTTGGCTGAAACACACGACAAATTAACAATGTTGCCAGGAGTGGTTGTTAGCACAAGATCCAAAATGTTGTTAACTCTGGTCGGATACATGTTCACTTGATGTAAGAAAAAATCATAACTTAGTTCTCTGAATTCAGAAGACCCAGCGGAAATAGTTCTTTCTGAAATAACAGGCACAAAGTTCGAGTTCCAAGTTAGATCGGGGAAGTTAAAATCACCAGAGATTAAAACTTTGTCGTAGTGGGTGGTTTCATCCAAAAATGCCGTGAACAAATGGAGCCATTCAACTAGGTTACAACTAGGTGGTCGGTAACAAACACACACAAGACATTTCTTGGAGTTTATCAATTCCAATTCGAGGGCAATAATCTCTAAACTATCAGACCAGTCTGGTTTATTATTACTTGCAATTAACCTATTATACGGAATGTCCTCACGTAGCGCTATTAACACCCCGCCACCGCGTTTGTCAGGCGCTCGATCTTTCCTTATGACGTGATAACCTTTCGGAAGTAACTCATTGTTCATGAAATTCTGATTGAGCCATGTCTCCGTTACCAAAATTAAATCAAGATTATCTGCGTAAACCAGGTCTTGGAAGGAGTTCAAGTTGTTAAAGGAAGTCCCGTCGGGTAATTTGGTGTTACTTCGAATACTCTGAGCATTGAAGGATAGACACCGAAGAACATGTTCATTACTAGGACCTGGATTGATAGCTACGTCTCCTGATAATAAGATCCATAGGAGTAGGTGTAAATTATTATTATTAATTTGAAATAATAGGCCATAACGATAGTTGCTGGATAACGAGCATTTCCTTAAAATACTATCACGCGTTGAAATCCAAATATAACTTAATCTGCCAGATATTGATGCAAGTTCCGAAGAGATAGTGGCGTTCTGCTGCGTTGATGACGACGTCTGAGAGTCTAGTATTGGTTTAGGTCTTGAAAACAACCAAAAAGTTACAGCGAGAAGCAACAGCCAATTAGAGACTGAAGTGAACGAGCGTCGGTGGGTTATTAAATTCATTGAACTAACTTGGCAAGGGAAATCTCCAAGATGAAACCAGAGAAGTTCGTCAGGTCAAAGGTCAATATGTCCGACCAAATTTAGTGATGTTGGTTTTTGTCCGACCAAATTCAAGTTATGTCCGACCAAAATTAAAAGTGATCGGACAAATGTCCTGTGAAGTCAAATATTTATTTGCAGCCCTGCAGTGGCCCTCTCAGTGGCCCTCATTAGTGGCCCTCATTAGTGGCCCTCATTAGTGGCCCTCATTAGTGGCCCTCATTACTATCCTGAAGACCGCCCAACTACCCAAGAGACGACTGGGGAAGACACAGGAACTTCCAGTATTTGCTCGCAGCATTTCACTTACAATTTGTAATTCTAGTTTAGTTATAAAATAGTGAAGGAAATCTAACAGTCAATCGCTTTCGATAAAACCTTGACCTTGTTTATATTACCGTCGCCTGCAACTAACGTTGAACAGTCGCTCATAAAAACATTGCCTATTCGCGTGAGAATCTAAAGTTTTCTTATTTTGACATAAATAGCTATTTTTCAATAAATATATTGATATTAAACTTATTGAATCAATATTTTAACTTTCAGGCCAGTTGTACCAACAGTTATAAACGCTAGTGCATCATAACCAGGGGGTGACTGCTTCTGTTTACGGTACTTGCTGAGTGACGAATCATGACGAATAGCGCTTACGCAAAAAACAATGGAAATGGACTTCTGTATAGTATTCTGTGTCATAAGGTTTCATGGTTTTGATTAGCCTGAAAACAGACCTACGTTTCGCCCGCCCTAAAATTCGCGGGTCGACTGATCCGTCAACCCACGAATTTTAGGGCGGGCTAAACGTAGGTCTGTTTTCAGGCTAGCTTTCGATGGCATGCAACATGTACGCACTGCGTACCTATTTTCTGTAGTGACTACCAAATATGGTGACAAAATTTAGTTTTCATTTGTATAGCCCAATGGTATAGCCCCAGCGAGTTAGCGCTCCATAGAGCGTCTTGTTTGGGACAAAATAAGCCTCAAATTGTAAGTTTAAAGTGTTAATAATTATATCAAAATGCTTAAATCACACTCGTTCCGCAAACCCTCGTACTTTTTTACGCTTTTCGTGCATTGATGACGCTATCCTGCATGCACGGAAAACCATTTGGTATTTCTTTAATCTCGTTCTATCCAAAAGCCATAAAGGCATTCTTGGGTTTCATATAACGTCACGTGGGCGTCAAGGGTCTGTTTCAACGGTAAAGGATAATTTTTATATGGTTCATATTGTTTTATATGTGTCTTTATAATAGTAGGAGGAGCCATTTCGTTTTTTTGTTGTTGTAGTTGACCTCAGTTCAATATTGGCCCCACCTGAGTACGTCAAATTATGCCAAAATATCACGTTATTGAAGCCCAAGAATATTGTAAAAACAGATTGGTGAAATAACCAAAATATATTGGTTGTCTAAGATGTACTTATTTGACCAATACTCTATAATTGTTGTTAAAACAACCAAAATTGGGTTATTTCAACCAATTTTTCGGCTGACAAAATAATACTGGTGAAAAGAAAATGCATCTTAGACAACCAGTTCAAATTGGTTATTTCAACAACCAATCCGTTTTTACATGGTATAAAATATGTTTTCAAAGATTCAAATAAAAATGGGAAAACAAACGAACAATTTGACAAGACGAAATTTGTTTTATCGATCATGTGAAACTGGCGCAAAAATTTATTCTCTATTCTGTAACTCTATTCTTGAACACATAAATCTTAAGGCTGCTTCCAGGATAAGCCTTTTACATACGTGCATGGAAAAGTTTAAATTCTTTTAAAGGTTTCTTATGAAATAATTAAATGAATCCGAAAAAACACAACGTTTAGTCTTGTGTAGGATTTAAAATGTAGTTGTCGAGGTAATTTGAACTTATATAAAATTTAGAAGACCTAAACTTTCCACACTTGTATGTACATGTAAAACACCGCAGCCTAACTGGAAAATAGCTTTTTAGCTTCCGGTTAATTCTTGCCGTTCATCTTCTAAAGAGTTTGAATAGAATTTTCAGCGTTAGATGCCAGGTCAGTAAAAGTTATTCGATAATCACGACAGGCTTAGTACCTGAAGAAGTTGATGAATCATTATGTAACTTCTTATGATGTTTTGACGATAAAAGTTTGAAATCCAAATCAGAGTCACTATCACTTTCTGCAATGTTTACTTCTTCAACCCTGGCTTTCTTTCCTTTGCTTTTGATAGTGCTGTTTACATCACTCGTGCTTGATTTGTCTCTGTTTCGTTTCTTCGATACTTCTTTTTTAGATACGGTCATCGATTTCTAGAAATGTCCCAATTATTATTCAGAATACTCATAAACTTAACATCTGTTTCGTACCATAGTCTATCAAGATATGATGGTCTGGAAACTAAACAGAAGTCATTGAGTAATGTTTTTGTCCGAGTTTATGTTAATTTGTGCATGGTCACGCTGATTGAGCTCATTGTGTTATCGTATATTGAAGGAACGTCCAGTAGGGATAGCTGAGACGAAACGTGCAACCACGATGAATATTTAATTAAATGGAGACAAAGGATTTGTGCACGGTGAGGTACGGTCAGGTGAATATGATGTTTGCGAAGGAACTAGATTCTGTTCCGAAATATCACTTACTCGAACCGACCTGACCGCGTAGCTCAGTTGGCAGAGCAATGGGCTAGTATTCCAAAGGTAGTAGGTTCGATTCCCACCGTGGCCGGGTATATTTTTCAAGCTCGCCCGGTGTGGATATACACTCAGAGTAACAACACAAACATCATCAAGGTCTTCTGTTTTGTATAGCTTTGCAGTTTGCCGGGCTTCCAGACCATAGTATTTTGACAGATAAGATTATATTCGTACTCGAGCTACTTTCTGCATTCGAAAAATTGCTGGGCTATTTGTAGTCACATGCTTGGTGACAATAGGCAAATTTGGCTAAAGTTGCTTACATCATTGCTACCCAGTTAGGCAGTAAATTTGCCTAACAGCGTTGTTTACATCATTGATAAACAGTTACTATTATTGTTCTAGTTTATATAAGCATAGAATAAAACAAAGTCAATTAAGCGTCAGAGTTACGGATAAGAGTTATTCATGTAGATAATTCTAAAGTTTAGTTACCATCGTTCTATTATACGCTTCTGCAAACTGTAGTACAATTATTATAGTAACTAGGCATGTGAATTATGTATAGTTGTGAACTGTGCATAATAAACATTGTGTGCCAAATTTGTCTATCAATGTAACTTATGTAAATTAGTGAATCAAAATTCCGAAACTTTTGTAAGAAATTCATCTGAATATGGGCCTTCTGATTTCTTCAACAACTTAGCTTTTCTTCAAAATAAACAGCCACTTGGACAATAGCTGTTTTGCGAATTGTAGTAATAATTTGGTTGCAATTTTAATTCAAAATGTACTCGATGAATTATCAAATAGCCCGATAGTAGCTTTCTGAAACATTCAGCCTACCTGAATTGAGGTTTGATTGGATAACACCATAGACACTGATATTTTCCCCGCCTGAACATTGTTTGTGCGGAGTCCTGGTACGAGATATGATATCGTTGAAAAAGGCGTGAAATGAAAATCTTCACTTAATATACCATCAAGTATCAAGTGAATGAGAAACCGCTGACAATCAACTGACGTGATAGTGGGCGCAGGTAGGTCTTTCACACGTAATTTTTTATTCCCTTTCCCATTCCAGGCTTCCAGTAACTTGATCATAGTAACTCGTTCTGCAATTTCTTGGGCATTTTGTAAGATCTTTAAAACGTTTTGTGCTTCCTTCGTTAAATTCTTTTTCACAGGAACACAGTTATCTAAATAAAGAATCATGACAAGCAGGGCTCGAAGTTCAGAAAAAATATGGCCTGCCATGCAGTCTAAAATTTTTTGGCAGGTGAAATAAATTTTAGCCTACCATTTTGTTCATTGAACTACCATTTTATTCATTGAACTGGGATGTCTCATATGAGTCATTGTAAAAATCAATGTTTTCATGATATGCATTTTTATTGTTTTTATAAACTTGTCTAATTTACTAAATGCAGTAAACTTGGATTTACATTTCAAATATAAACGTATTTAGTCAACTAAATATCTAGTATTTCAGTTGTGGTAAGCAAATGAAATGAAATATATCTAGGATTTTTTTTTACTTTTGAAGTTTAAATTTGTTTTTGCCTCCCATCTCTAAAATATGGCTGCTTTTGGCCATTGGCAGGCAGGCAGCCCGCTATTTCGAGCCCTGACGACAAGAGCAGCGTAAAGCAAGGCTAGCACGAACACGAGCGATCAGGTTGTATTGCTATACTCCAAGTGTCAAATGGAAAGATTTTTTCGCTTTGTGAAACCTTACAACTGCAATCGAAGTAAAAGAGATAAAAACTAGCTTGCACAGCCGTTTTTTTCTGTGGGGAGAAGAAAATTTGCGATGTCCGAAAGTCGAGATGATAACTGGAGGCGCAAGGCCAAATTGAAAGTAAAACCGAACGAGAATGAGAGTTGACGAGAAATTCAACTAACGCTTGTGTTTGACTGCCAACTGTCATTGACTCCCGTGGGTCATATGAACCAAGAAAAATATCCTTGCATCGTTCAGTGAAAAAAACTTATTTTACACAAACACTTATCATCAGTCATCTGGGGCTCATTTTTTAGCCATTTTTGGCTCATTTTCTTGCCATCTTTCTCGCACTTGTAGACTATAATTATTTCTACTTTTCATGTTGACTCATTTATTATTTCGTTGGAAATTTCAGGAAAACAAGCATGGAATTAATTCTTGCTCGCGTATATTGTTAGTTAGACTTGGTTCAGGTCCGTCTCTCAGGGGCAGGGCCGCCGAGGGGGGGGGGGGGAAATTGCCCCGGGCCCCGAGGTGCTGGGGGCCCCTGAAAAATTTTTATTGGGCCCCAGTCCTTTTTGTGTGTTAAATATTTCCGCGCAAAGGACAAGATATCTGTTTTATTGGGCTAAGTAACGAAATTAGGCATAGAAAAATGAGATAAAGTCCCTCGAAAGTATCTGCAACGTACTCGTCCGGAAAATTTTTCACTCCGGGAAAAATCTTTTTACCGCTAAAATGGTACACTGACCGAAATGTTTTTGGCGACGGGGGGAGGGGGGGGGAGTCGTTGTCCGGAAAAATTTTTGAAAAGGGCCCCCCCAAAAAAAATTTGCCCCGGGCCCCCGCCAACCTCTCTGCGGCCCTGCTCAGGGGGTTGAAAATAGCGATGCACGCGACCGTTCAAAAAAGGCGCGAAAATATGAGAGAAGAGTAGGGAGAGACGGACTTGGATACCCTGCAAGCGTGCCAAATTTTAACGTCGGATTTTTCCTACGGAGGAGTGGCTGGCGAGTTGAGAACAACAACAAATTTTCGCGCCAATTTTCCAAGTAACATTCGAAATGCTGCAAATGTCCCATGTCCGTCTCTCCCTAATTTTCTCCTGAGACGGACTTGAACCAAGTCTAATTGTTAGTCTTCAACAACATTCGTTCGCAAAGAAAATTTCAGTCAGGCATACGCATGCGCAGACATTTTTCCGCGGAGTTTTCTCAGCTCGTTTGACCATGACACTCACCATTATCTGTTCTCTGACAGTTATCACACATCCCTTTACATTCTTCCTCCTTCCATTCTTCACCAAAATGTTGACCAATCAATGAACGACGACATGAATGCAGATCTTGGCAGTATGACAACATCTTGTAGAGATTTTCTAAACCAGTTTGCTCAGTGAATACCTATTTAGTAGGTAATAAAATTGTTTTATTTATCATTTTACTAATATTTCAGACCTTCGTTTGGACAGAGCGCAGTTTAAAAGTAGCCTAAAGGTAACCTTTAAAGGTTTTTCGCAAATGGAATTTTGAACGAAAACCAAAATATACATACCGAAGATCATACCGAGTGCAGTTGAAAGCATAGGATCGAAGGTTGGTATGTTTCATATCTCAAGGGGTTGCATTAAAATTTATAACTTAATAAAATACTCAAAATCAATCAATTAAGTACTAGATAAAACATGAGCAGCCGATCTGTATCTGATAAATAAACTCTAGCCGAAGGCGAGAGTTCGTATATCAGATCGGATGCGAATGTTTTATCGTACTTAAAAAATGACCCATCTTATGAGTTCATTGGCGAAGTAATTTTAAAAATAAACATTGTCTAAGCCGAGAAAATCAAACCTGAAGTTTATATAAATCTTTTGTATTTTCCTCGTGAATTAATCAATTATTGAATTTTTTAAGTGTACATAAATAATGAGTACATAAATATTGAAGTACACGGTTGATTTGATGATTGATAAATTTATTGCAAATATATTTCATTTTTGCTCGCATTTTTGCAAGATTTTGTAAATTTCAAAAGCTCTCTTAGAAAGAAACTGCGAAAGAATCGACTAATAGAAGGGAGCCGACGTTAACGAAGGTAAGTTTTGTTTTAAATATTGATTTTATAATGGTTTAAAACCCGACGGCCTTTGCCTATATGAAACAACTAGACAAAACAGCATATAATTTCAGTGTATCTTTAATATTGATCCCCCTTTTTATGATATTGAATTTTTTTAAATAAAAAAGACAGCAAAGTTATTTGCAAGCGAGAATTTTAAATCATTTTATTGCAAACTCAAAGTTTATCGATAAAACCATTTTAAAAGGCAGTTACTTTAGTTTCATAAAGACCACTAGACACTAGTGACTTTAAAACGTTTTGCGAAGCGTTTGTGCTTGAATTTTACCTTAAATTGAGGCTTATATTACGTATAATAACATACCTAACATATATATGTTGGGAAATTAATAATTTTGTAATTAAAAGTGATATTTTTAAGCGATTTTTTATTTGTAAGAATATTCTTAAAAAATTATCGTGTTACCATGACAACTACTTTAGATACTTCATGTTCGGAAAATACAATGGTTTTGTCAGCAAGGCGAGGGTTTCTGCATGCATGTATTTTCTAGTAGATTCGCCTTCTAAATATTTACTAAACTAGAAGTTACTATCGCAAGGAAGTTACTACCCCCAAGGTATTAAAGGCAGCATGCACAATTTGCTGAATAAGGGGCTGTTTATATGATCCCGCTTTGCCAGGAGATATGTAGTCTCCTACGCAGCCTGTTCGCGGGTCCGAGGTTTTCTCCCCACGTACAGGCTGCTTACTGCAGCAACACATTCCATTCCGATTGTTTAGCCAATCACAGCCTGAGTACCAAAATCAGGAACTCATTCGCGCTTAAATTTAATAATTCCGAAACAAAGATGGCGTCGTATGATCAAGCATTGTGTGAAGTCGCCCATTATTTCGTATTTCTACTTCCAACGATCAGAAGAATGCGATTCGAACAATAATTTAAAAAAATGAGATGTGTTTGTCAACCCGCCTACTACAGGCTTCGGTAAATCGATTTGCCTCTCATGTGATGTAATCGCCTGTTCCACGAATAATGCCAGAGCGGTAGTTCAGTATGGAATACCAGAGGCATTGCTCTTTATAAATCATTGACTAAACTGCCTTATTTATGTTTCATTACCACCAGCTTTAATAATTTACCAGATTTATTTAAATTTATTTTGTGACAAACAACAAAATCATGAACATATTCATAACACGAGAAATGCTTCAAAACTTCACGAATGTTATAAAAGGACAAATTATATTAATTATGTGAAACACTGCAGTCTCTCATATAAAGGAGTTGATGCATGGAATTTGTTAGAAACAAAATTTAATGAAATAAATTCATGACTTCAAATTAAACAACACTTTGCTATACACAATTGACAATTTATACTATAAGACATACTTCTGCATTAAAATATATGTAATACTTTAGTAATATATAGCACTTTAGTTTAGTATTTTGTTGGTCATTGTTGCCGAGTCATTGTAAAAATTTAAATGCATCGCCAACATTAGTATTAATTTATATAATACGAACATTGCCCGTCTTTTTCTCTGTTGTAAATACAGACGTATATATTCTTCAAAACGTCTCATTTTACATATTGCATGTAGGCTATTGACTTACTGTAAATAATTGACTATTTAATTATCACAAATGAACAGGAACTAGAGGCCTAAATAAAAAGTCTACGAAGATGTCTAGTAGGTATCTAGCCTAAAATCGTTTAAAGATATATTTTAAGAAGCTTTTTTATACATGGGGAAAATTAAATAAAAATATATAAAATATATAAATTTGTAAACAATAACTATTTTGAACGACAAGTTGTCAATTTCAAATTACTGCATGCATTCAAATTAACACGAAATCAAAAATATAAAAATATTTATACATTTGCCAGTTAAAACAATACTCTATAGCAATATTGTACTTAATAATACACTTACTGTAAATACTACTGATATATAGTTTTAGTTTTCATTTAGGCTTGTACAAAAATATGCTGTAAAGCAAAAGTGCTCGCGGGTTTTATGAGTTCTCAGACTTCTATATGCCATGGTTTCAAAAGTGCTCGGGAGTCGGGTTTTATTTGAACGCATACAACCCGAACACTTTTGAAACCATAGAAGTCTGAGAACTCATAAAACCCGCGAGCACTTTTGCTTTACAGCATATTTTTTTGTACAAGACTAAATGAAAACTAAAACTATATATCTGAGTAGTATTTAAGTGTATTATTAAGTACATTATATATAAACCTCAGTCGAGCGAGATTATTTGAGGATACCCAATTGCGCTCATTTCACCATTTCTTTGCTTGAGCAGCACAGAGCCACATAGCTGCTTCAGACTGAATTTCATTAGATCATCCTCCCCAGTTTTTCTTAACACAGTTGAGAGTTTCTTTCTAAAACACAAATCGCTAACTTCCTGGGAAACGATGTCAAGCACTTTCTGTGTAACCACTTTGCGGACGGGTTGCATTTCATAACTGCCGTATATAGTGACTCTCTATAGAGGTCCATACAGTAACGCTTTCCCCAATGTATTGTAGGTATCATTTACAGTTTTACTCACAGTTCTAAGGAGTAGGAACGGAATATAGGACGATAAAAGCTGGGTCCATGGATTATGTCTTAGGGTAACTTAATTCAGCCTCAACTATAGACAACAGCCGTTTCATAACATACGTTTTTGCAAACAAATAAATCGTTACTGTCAGAATATTGTTCACATCAACATTTAATACTGATACCTTGATCAGATCAGCTATACCAAGGGCACTTCTCCCGTCATATAGAATATAAACAAGTTGATTATTTCAAGCACGAGTGTAATATATTTTTAACGGCATAGTACAAAACATGGACTGGACAGTTGGACTGGACTGGACTGGACAGTTGGACTGGACTGTTGGACTGGACTGGACAGTTGGACTGGACTGTTGGACTGGACTGGACAGTTCGACTGGACTTAGCCTGCGAACAGGCTCACTGGGAGAAAGGTGAGCCTGCACGGAACCATGCGTTTTATTCATTCATCCCCTTTTCGCATCTGCTAAACGCTAACCAATCAGCGTCGACTGCGATAAATAAACTATCAACTGTCAAATTGACGCAAGGCGTGTACATTGTGCAACATGAACAATAATAATACAAAGCATTAGCGGGCCGCACAATATATTACTCGGAAAAATATAGAATTCTTCAAATATTAAATAGATATCAATACACATACAAATATAAAGCCGAATAAACTATCATTGGCTTTGAATGTACAGTAATACTTGTACTATGTGCGACTGAAAGAACAATGTTCTGAATATTTTGAAGCTATTACTAAAATACGGTCAGATAGATTGGGATTTGGAATACCGAATACGTTTAAAATTTTACTAACGGTGGTCTAAATAAATGATAAATGAGCATGTATTTATTAATTTCTTCGAAATCACGAGTGTGCCAATAGTGGAAGCCGTATCGACGACGAAATTGTCAGCAGTTAATATACAGTAAACAGTACAACGTTTAATGTACGATATATATTTATCTAAATGACATGCCAGCGAGGATCGAAAATATAATTATTCGTACATATTTGGGTATCTTTTGTATGCCTTCGCTTGCTGACTTGCTCACTAATGAGAATAATCCGTGAAGCCACGACGACCTCAAAATGTACTATACTATGGTCTGATGTCAATCCGAAGACGAAGTTCAGAATACTGTTATAGTTTCGTATATTGGATTTAAGCGATAGATTTAAGTCATTTATGATAGACTTTTTTGCTGTGATGCTTTGCTATTGCTTTTGGTTTCCATTTCTAGTTTTATTTGTTCGATAGTCCTATAATATATAATATTAAAATGAATAAAGTTCAAATTCTTCAAAATGCTGTTGTTGACATTTGCTATTTTTAGTAATTTTGTCAACGAGTGTAAGCCAATCAGAAGCCTGCGTTTCTATACGAACGCCACTACCAAGAAAACCTATCATCCGTGCAGGCCCTCTATTCTTCGCGCCGCCCGCAACCCAGGGCCTGTTCGCAGGCTAGACTGGACTGGACAGTTGGACTGGACTGATTTTTACATTTTCTCTATTGTTGACTTGGAGTGTATCTAAAAGTCGAGGGTCGAGAGTCGAGAGTATAGGTCGAGAGTCGAGAGTAAAAGTCGAGAGTCGAGAGTAAAAGTCGAGAGTCGAGAGTAAAAGTCGAGAGTCGAGAGTAAAAAGTCGAGAGTCGAGAGTAAAAAGTCGAGAGTCGAGAGTAAAAAGTCGAGAGTCGATCGAGAGTAAAAAGTCGAGAGTCGATCGAGAGTAATAAGTCGAGAGTCGGCAAATGTCATCAGAAACAACAAAGTCAAAATATTTTTATTTTTTAACCACGTTTAACACAATCTATATATAGCTTTACATAGCCATTCCGTAACAAGTACCAACGGCTGAAATGCAAACTTTCCAATAAATATTGCTACAACAGTCAATAATGGGTGTCTGTAAAAGCCGGAACCCCACCCGCAACACCAGGAACCCACCCGGAACACCCGGAACCCCACCCGGAACACGCTGGAATACGAGCTATGAAGCAACGCACGTGTTTCTCTATAAATTCACGTGTTTCGCATTAAATTCGGGGTGATAGATGGTTACGATCTTTACTTTTTACTTGTATTGTTGTTTTTTTAAATAATTTTCTCATGGGCAAGGATAAATATATTATGTCGGGCGGTACAGAATATCAAATGCATGAGTATTGTTTGTTTGTAAACGTGCAAACGAAGTTTCGCTCGAGGCTGTTGCCGCATGTACTATATTTCAGTTTCGTTTTCAATATTCTGCCGTACTATGTACCTGTGACTCTATTCTAAATTTAGTTGAACAATAACCAATATTTAACTTTGCTATCTTTTTTATTATTTGAATAATATGTTTGCATATGGTTATTTGACTTGCAAAGAAACGGCGCCGCATGTCAGAATTTAGAGGAATTATAAAGTTCATCCGTATTTATTATATACAATACGAATTCTCGTGGATTTGTGGGAAATTTTTCATGGATTTCTTTACTAGACTTACTCGCTTTTTGGAACTTTGAAAGACGTTTTAGTAATTTAGAGGCTGTTTTGTATATGACAATGACTGCAGCCTACATTAAAAGTGCACGAGCGACATCTTAGAATAACTATTATTAAGTAGCTAATAAATTATATGTATTGCTAGAAATTCCCAAAACATTCATTTGTCATTGAAAACGTTGACAACCAAATCAACAAGCTGGTGTCGTATATATAAAGCACTAGCCACTAGGCAAAACGTTCATGTTATAACTTCAACAGTAACACAGTCCTTAATTTAATATATTAAATACAATATTTATTTACTGCCGTTGATCGAAGGAACATGGACGTTTTGCTCGTGCTCTACATTAGTATATGACATCATCCTGCTTGTTGGTTGTTAACGTTTTCAATGACAAATGAATGTTTTGGGAATTTCTAGCAATACATATAATATATTAGCTACTTTATTTAAACATATTTCTGATGAGAATGAGTTTGCCCCAAGAGCGTACACACCGCTCATCAAGGGGGCTTACTTAATAATACTGTTATTCTGAGATCTCGCGCGTGCACTTTTACTGCAGGCTGCAGTCATTGTCATATACAAAACAGCCTCCAAATTGCTAAAACGTCTTTCAAAGTTCCAAAAAAACGAGTAAGTCTAGTAAAGAAATCCATGAAAAATTTCCCAAATCCACGAGAATTCGTATTGTAATAAATACGGATGAACTTTATAATTCCTCTAAATTCCTACATGGCGCCGTTTCATACAATTGCAAGTCAAATAACCATATGCAAACATATTATTCAAATACTAAAAAAGATAGCAAAGCTAAATATTGGTTATTGTTCAACTAAATTTCGAATAGAGTCACAGGTACATAGTACGGCAGAATATTGAAAACGAAAAATATAGATGCGGCAATAAATACATGCGGCAAACGCCTCGAGCGAAACTTCGTTTGCAAGTTTACAAACAAGCAAAACTCATGCATTTGATATTATATACAGCCCGACATAATATATTTATCCTTGCCCATGAGAAAAATTATTTTAAAAAAACAACAATACAAGTAAAAAGTAAAGATCGTAACCATCTATCACCCCGAAATTAATGCGAAACACGTGAATTTATAGAGAAACACGTGCGTTGCTTCATATAGCTCGTATTCCAGCGTGTTCCGGGTGGGGTTCCGGGTGTTCCGGATGGGGTTCCGGGTGTTCCGGGTAGGGTTCCGGGTGTTCCGGGAGGGGTTCCAGGTGTTCCGGGTGGGGTTCCGGGTGTTCTGGGTAGGGTTCCGGGTGTTCCGGGAGGGGTTCCGGGTGGGGTTCCGGGTGTTCCGGGTGGGGTTCCGGCTTTTGCAGACACCCAATTTAGGGCATTTTAAATCTTGTATAACTTCGGCTGGATAGGCAAAAGCAAGGTATATAACCGTTTAATGATCTATATTTTAGTTTTTCTAAGCTTTCCAGTGATGCATGTTATATTTGCCAAAAAATAATTTCAACATTTTGTCCGCAATGGTTTTCTATAGGTAGAAGTAAGAAAAGCTTGATTTTCACCATGTTCCACCGAAGGGATTTTTTGGGATTTTTAATATGTTAATCATTAATATGTTAATCGTTTTCACACACTTTACCACTGAAAAAAAATCTATTGCGATTACTTTGATCACGACCATGTACTTATAGTGATTTGACTGGACTATGTTTATATACGAGTTCTTCGCGACTCATTTAAGCCGCGGCTTATTTAATATTAGGCCGTGACTTATTTTTACACGTATAAATGGCCCTATTAATGTTTTCGGCAAGTACAATTTGTTGCTACGTGACGACAGAACATTTTAAGCATGTTAGCCTATATTAGGCTAAAACAATCAGGAAAATTACCTTTTTATTGTCTTGTTGAGTAGAAAAGCATCTATTGCATAAAAAATAAAGGCTTTTTATCGTACCGCGTTTTAGCAATATGCCAGCCATGCTTGGACTAAAGTAACAAACACAACTGATCTCATCTAGTTCGCAACACTGGCGTTTATTTTAGGAATTTAAAAGCCCCGTTTACACAACAGTCATTTTGGGTACGGCACGCTCAAAATTTGGCACGCGGATATGGTCGTCCGTTTGTTTCAAAATTCGCTAAATTCAATTCGCACTCGCTAAATTCAATTCGCACTCGCTAAATTCAATTCGCACTCGCTAAAATTCAATTCGCACTCGCTAAATTTGCATTCGCACTCGCTAAATTTGCATTCGCACTCGCTAAATTTACATTCGCACTCGCTAAATTTGCATTCGCACTCGCTAAATTTGCATTCGCACTCGCTAAATTTACATTCGCACTCGCTAAATTTGCATTCGCACTCGCTAAATTTACATTCGCACTCGCTAAATTTACATTCGCACTCGCTAAATTTGCATTCGCACTCGCTAAATTTGCATTCGCACTCGCTAAATTTGCATTCGCACTCGCTAAATTTGCATTCGCACTCGCTAAATTTGCATTCGCACTCGCTAAATTTGCATTCGCACTCGCTAAATTTCCACCACCCCCCCTTAATTTAGCGAGTGCGAATGTAAATTTAGCGACTGCGAATGTAAATTTGTATTCGCACTCGCTAAATTAGGGGGGGGGGGATAGCCTGCATGGCAGGCGGTATTTCTACGGGCAGCGAAAATTAGGGAAGCAAAGGAAATACCGTCTGCCGCAAAACTAGGGGTTTTTGAATTACCCGTCCGCTGGTGAACGGGAAAAACGGATTGGTTAGTATTTTTATGTAGTTGTCAATCAACGGCTAAATTCGGTTAAATGTTAATCATTAACCAAATGTTTTGACGTTTTGAAACTCTGCGTTTTGAAATTAGTTCACGACTTCACGTCAAGTCTAACCTCGCAGGTTACGTCAAGTCGGACCAGAAATGGAATAACATAATAAAAGAAGCAAATTAAAAGATACAAGCTGAAAAATAACACTCTAAATAGTGTTTTTGATAGAGATTCGAACAAGAATATTTAACAAAGAAGATACGTCCGAAGGGGCCGAAGTTATGATCGGCGAAAGGTATGGGCTAGTCTATATTTTCGTTCAGACAATTACATGCGTATTAATTTGATAATATACTATCTCGCTTGACTTTCAAAGGCCATAAATCGCAATAATGTTGACATTTTACTAAAACTATCGATAGAAATTAGGAGATATTTCTTCACTGAATCGAACAGTGGGATTTCCATATAGGCCTATCAGTCATGTTCTGAACCAAAGATACTTGATAGATATTATATACGAACCTCCAAAGTATAAACAAGGGGCCGGTTGATGCAGTAATTATCAAATAACTGTTAAACTCTTATATACCCGTTGAATATGTATAGTTGTAAACAAATAAAAACTATCGTTCTATAATTATACGGTTCAATACTTTCAGTTTGGTTGTTGACTGATGATGAATCTATAGTATAGACTTGCATGCTTTGTATTTTGAGCTTATTAAACCACCGTTTTAAGGCAGCTAAACGGGCTTGGTTTATATTAACACATAAAATAAATTCCTTGATTCTCATCACTAGACACAGTCTACACTTTGAAATGTCGAAGACAGTGGGAGATTTATTTTTTATATTTTATATTTATATAATTATATATCAATAGTTCGTATCTCCACGAACAATGACAGAATGACTGAGTTTCTTTAAAATACAATGAAATTTCATTCAAAATTCTGTTTGTTTCAAATTGGAAGTTTAAAATGGCAATAAAAACTCTATATAAAATATGAAAAAATTAACTGTCTTGAATTATTTTGTCGGGCGGTACATTTATATTGTGTAACTAAAAATAAAACGTTTTCACGAGGATTTTAAAATTCAGTCGGGCGGTGATGAGAATCAAGGAATTTATTTTATGTTGGGCAGTTGGGACTTGGGAGCAGCTTGGGAGTGGCTAATTTTGAATATTTACTTAATTAATGCATCTATAAATAGCGTTGATGCTTCAGGGGCGGTAGTTCATTTACACCCAGTTTTGCGGCAGGCGGTATTTCCTACCTACCGCCTATCATGCAGGCTAGGGGGGGGGGAGGATACCAAAAAATTTTTTCCGGACATACCGGCGGCGTAAGAAATTGTACTTATGGATAATAATAGTAAATAAAAGTCTTTATTTGAATACTCAAAGCGGGACTAGCTAACAGTCGTGGGTCGTGGGTAGAATCTCGTGGGCCGTGTGTAGAATGTCGTGAGTAAAAAGTCGTGAGTCGTGAGTAAAAAGTCGTGGGTCCTGGGAAAAAAGTCGTGGGTCCCGAATAAAAAATCGTGGATCCCGATAAAAAGTCGTGGGTTCCAAACAAAGTGTTTCCGCATATTTACCTTTTTCCTTTTGGAATGCGTGTTTCTTTTCTGAGGCTTTCCCAAATGTACGTAGAGCGCATTAAGGATTTAAGGGTACGTAGTTGATATCGTAAGATCGGTTTATAAATAACCAAGTGTGGATGGAACAGTTCAACTTCACGTCCCATATAGCAGTCAACTATTTGGACGCTATAATCTTATAGGCAGCTAAATTAATTATTGTAGTTCTTTAATAGGAATATGGCTGAAGGGCCACATGTACGAAAGCTGAATAGTGCTATCCACGTCACTAGATAGTCAAATTTTTATAACCGGCATATAATATGCTTTCAGAGCTATGGAACTGCGGAGTATAAATTATAGTTACCCATTTAATGAAATAATATGACATATCATTTGACATCTATGGTGGTCTTCATGTATACATACAGTCATTTAATACTGTACTCTGTAGGTTACAAAGAAGATCGCCGCCGTTCTGCAAAATAGTGATGATATCGATATCCATATCGGTAATTTTGTTGTTGATATTATTGAATTCTGAAATATCGCAAACTACAACAAACCTTGCTTGTAAACAATGCTACTCGGACTGTTATTAAAAGCGCTTTGAAATTTCCAAATTCCAACTTGCCATTGACTTTATAGTACTTTATGGAAATTTGATGCTCAAGAAATATGTAGTAGTATATACCTCCCTGCTATCAAACATACGGTAAAATAATCCGACAAAAGCCTACTGAAAGCTGATAAGTCAAAGCGTGAATGTTACAAATACTGTATGTGACTGTATATTTGTAACTTTATATGTTTGACATTAGAGAATACAGACCACATAATAAATTTGATAAACACCTAAATTGTGACTTTGGCTTCACTGTAATTTCTTGATCGATGACTCTTACAGTAATACGCGAGAAATGTTTACTTTGACAATACATGTTAGTCTGTTTTATAGAGATCAATATATATAGTGTTAATGACTAATGCAATGTAATGACTAATGTAATGCAATGACTAATGTAATGTAATTGTAATGTAATGTAATGTAATGTAATGGAGTTTGGGTAATGGTCGAGGGTCATAGGTCGAGGGTCATAGGTCGAGGGTCATAGGTCGAGGTTCGAAAGTAGAGGTCGAGGGTCAAAAGTCGAGGGTCGAAATTCAAGGGTCGAAAATGGGAAATATTAATTTTTTATTAATATATTTTTATTCATTACTGTTAGTACAGAACATGCCTTGGGGCATAATTAGGTTCCTTTTTGTTTTTCGAGAAAGTGTAAAATTACTAATTAAAACTATTCGAGAACGTACGGTGCCGGTGGGGTGATTCGAAAGTATATTGTATTTATTGTACTATCAGAACGAATCGAGTCCCAGCGCAGCAAAAATCTCTCACAATTAATGGTCGTAAATTCTGAACCAGACTAAAATCACCCTGTTATAAAGATTCGTGCTTCGTGCATGTTATTTTTGACAGAATAACTAAAGAAAGTTTTTCTCGCAACTATATTATGAATATGAAACTGTCAATCGAACATGTGCACTTCCGGTGCAGACATGATGTTATAAAATATATAAAAATCAACTGTTTCTCGCACACCCTAACGCTTTAAACCTCCAAAACCATACGCGGTATGAGGAGTATCGTTAAGATGAAGTTCTGAGAATTTCAGAACTCTTTCGCCTCCAAGAGATATAAACATATTTATACCTATAATCAAATTTCTCATGAGAGTGAAACGCCATTTTTGTATAATCGTCCGTGTTTGTATATTTTAAACTCCAATGTAAAATAAAAGATGTATGCTTTCAAACATCAAACCTCGACTTTTAGTTCCACAAGCGAAACTTTTAGTTATACAGTACATAGCCATACGGCATAGCCATAGGCGAAACTAATATTGTTTTGCCGCGTTTAATGGTTGTAAAACTTTTAAAATGGATAAAAATTTAGTATTTTCGACTTTCAACCCTCGACTTTTGACCCTCGACCTCGACTTTTGACCCTCGACCTCGACTTTTGAACCTCGACCTATGACCCTCGACCCTCGACCTATGACCCTCGACACTCGACCATTACCCAAACTCAATGTAATGTAATGCATTACTAATGTAATGACTAATGTAATGACTAATGTAATGACTAATGTAATGACTAATGTAATGACTAATGTAATGACTAATGTAATGACTAATGTAATGACTAATGTAATGACTAATGTAATGATAATGAAATGATAATGTAATGATAGTGTAATGTAATGTAATGTAAGGGACGGACCATTAGAAAAGTGATGGGGGTGGGAGGGCAAAACCAAAAAAAAAATTTATTCCCAGAAAAAAATTAAGAAAAAAAAAATCTTTCCAGGCATAGTGCAAAAAAAAAATCCTTGCCTAGAAGATAGGCCAAGTGGTGTACTGGAGGGAGGGCTCAGGGAGGCTGAGCCCCCTTGTTGAAATTTCATGTCAAATCTTCCCCAAAGTCCAGGAAATGGCATTTCAGAGACTCTAAATTTAAAAATTTCCTCGGGCCTTCGGCCCTCGCTTCGGCTTGTTTTTAATAAGAATAACGTCAAATGTTTGTCCCAGAATTACTAGAATAAACCCTAACAAAATTTAGAATTTCCAAAATATCTTATTGTAGCCCCCCTTGTTAACATTCCAGGACTACACTACTAATAGCCCTATAAATTTCACTTAAAGGGGCCCTACAGTCATTTTTTAGTCGAAAGCCAGCTTAAGTAGGTGACTCCACAGAGATTCGTTTGGCTGTATCTTACATGCAGCATCCATGAGTATGAGTACTTTTGCACACCAGAAAATGCATGCATACTGTGGTGCGCATGTCAAATAGAGACAATAACAAAAACATGTAAACAATACTTACTTGACTAAAAAATTACTGTGGGGCCCCTTTAAAAAAAATATATTTCCAACCGTCAAGTGAGAAAAAAAATAAAATTCTTCTATAGGTGTACAAAAAAAAATATTGCCTCCTAGAAAATCCCCCCCCCCCATCACTTTTCTAATGGTCCGTCCCTAATGTAATTAATGTAATGTAACGTAACGTAACGTAATGTAATGTAATGTCTGTTTTACTAGGGAAAAATTGAGAGATTTCACTTAAATAGATATCTAGTATCTAACCATGTTAATTGCAGTAGTGACAAACGGCTTGTTCTCGATCTATTGTATCGCATTATTTCCTACTGAAGAATTACAATAGTTA